TGGTTGCAAGCAAACACAAACTCGTTTATTCCTGCTCGGTACTATAATGCTTCAACATAAATCAAGTCCTTGCAAAAAAGCAGTTGGCTTCTTCCCCAAGTCCATAGTGAGTCGGCAAAAGCCGGCATGGGGTGGCACCGCAGAAGCGGATCTGCTTGCCAGGCTATGCCGCCTTGAACGCAGCAGTGGTCGCCTGCCAAAAAGCAGGCAAGGGCTCTGCTTGGCCTCGTCTCATCTTCACCTTGGGTCCCACTCAAGATATGGGAGCATCTCAAAATGCGACCTGTTGGACCGCTCAAGGTTATATTTGAGCGCTTCTACCGTTGGTTTGGGGAAGACATGGGGTGAGAACCCAAGTTCCCCACAAAATCTAGGGGGCAGCACAGGTGTTCCATGTCCTTTTGGGGAAGCAAGTACTTTGTTCCAGGGCTCATATGGGTGTGTCCGAAAGTGAGGGACCCTTCTTTTTGCGCGTGTGAGAAACCATAGCTTCACCCTAAGGCTCTTGTACGTGTCCTCACGTGGGCTAATGAACTACTACTTGCCATGGTTGCCCAAGTAAGGTACCTCACAAAAAGTTCACATTTCCCAAGAACGACTCCACGTATGTCGGACCAATCTCAAACACACTGCTGTTGATGACCGCGCTGAAGAGCATCCAAAGATTCAAAGTCAAGCTTTGGGGGGTATCCTGGAAAGAGCGCTGTAAAGCGGGTCAAACAAGTTTGCTAGTTCTTGTGCATGTAATCTTGTTGTTTGTTGTCTTTTGCCCGTTGTTGAGCGGCAATGTGCCTAAATACAGACGACATGTTACTAGTGTGTCTGAAATAGTTCACCCCCCACTAAAATGGTGGTTGAAGCCGATTTGATATCCGTTTGAACTTTCCAAGCTCAGCATGAACCCAGCCCTAGGGTCCCAAGACCCTAAATATGAAGCCCTTTGACCCCCCAAAGACCTCAAATATAAAAAAGAAGGTCTTGGGACCCCGGGGCAGGCTTAAGCCCTTGTTTGATCAATGGCGGGGTGTCCCATTTCAACATGGGATCCTTCACGGTTTGGGCCAATACCCCTTCCCCCCCTGATGCGGCAGGAAAGGGGCAATCCGAGTCAACATGACCCTTGCTTTCACTAACCTGCAACCCGACTGAAGGGTGCTGGAAGAGCATTTGTCGGCAAGAAGGGACCTTTGAGTTCTATCGTGGTGGACAGAATGCTGTCCTTAGGACCTTTCTTTTTCGACCTCAACCAGTTTGTTGGGCCCATAAACCAAAGTGATCGCTGGAATTCAAACAAAAACCAGTTCAGGGGTGAAAAAACATGTCCCCCCCCTTCTTAACGACATGTTCTTTCAAAAGGGACTTGTGTGCAAGCCATCCCAATCGGGCGTCAGGCCAAGTCGGAAAGTGGTTAGCTACTTGGGTAATACCCCCCTAAGGTTAACCTCACTTGAGGGGACTTCTGAGTGGGTTATGGCCGAAGGGTTACAATTGATTAACTTGGCGAATCGAAGACCCAAGCTGGGCTGTTCAAGGGCAATCCTTAATCCTTACCTTGGGTTACGCGAGGAACACCGGTCCCCTTTTTAGTGGCTTCCCTATCGGGATTATGGAAAATCGCATTGGCCAACCCAAGCCATTCTGAAGAACTGCAGCACTCGTGGGTTCCAAGAAGCTTGCCAGGCCGCTGGGAGCATTGTCTGGCGCTCATAGACCAAGCGCAAAGCCGCAGGCCATCGAACAGCGCTCCGTGGGTATCTCAAACAGCCCTGCGCACTTCTCAGATAGGGCCTGGTTGACTTCCCACGACTCAGATTCTCAGAGAAGTAGGACGCGCCCTTGGTTGAAAACCCACGGTCATGACCTAAGGTCGAACATCCAAGCAATTTGGGTCGTCGAGTTTCCATTTGGGCCGATGTAGAGCGATGTTCCGTCGGGTTGGTTCGGGTGGAAACAAGTGCTTGAGCAGGTCCCAAGTTTTATGGCTGGGGGAAAGCTTTGATTGGTCTGCATAGTTTATGGCAAGCTCACCTGGGGGTAAAACGAGCTCACCACGGTAAACATATTTCACTTGGGAATCCCTTGATTCAGGTTTTGCAAGTATTGTAAAACTTGCGGAATCGGTGGCTTGTGGATTTGAACCTTTGGTTTTTGGTTAAACAGCTTGTACCCTTGTGACAATGAACCAATGGTTGGAAGTACTTGAAACAACTCGTGTTTTTTGTTCGGCAGAATCACGGACACTTGTTTCTGAAGCACGAAGCCCACGGATTGTTTACGGGACACTTGCTTTAGCGGGGTTTTGGAAGGCCGCTTGCCAGCCACGGGTCCGCAGGGGACTTCCACTTATCACAGAAAACAGGCATTTTCCACATGTACGCAAGCTCACGGCAAAGGGTACCTTTTAAGGGGCCACATGCAATCACGGAATTGTTTGCCGGGTTGGACCCCTTATCCCAGAACTGAACCTGGCTTTTACACTGGAACGTAAAGACTCATGTTGACCCCAGAGTAACAAACAAACTGTTTGTGAGTATGGGGGTGTCCCCGGGGTTTATCGCTTTTGGAGGGAACACCCCCATATTTGAACAACCGAGGTTTCTTAATCCGGGCTCAACATTACTCGGGTCCTAAACAAGCCGCATTTCTACTGGTCATTTTTTCCGAACATGAAGCAACTACTTGTCGAGGGTTGCCAAAGCTATGGGCCTTGACGGTATCCGCCTTTCGAAGGGATCTCAAAGGGTCCTGTTGAGACTTCCTTCGCAGTCCGGAGGATTCCTCCACGATTCCATTGGCTTTCAGAGAACGACCAAGAAGCGCAGCTGGGTGTGTCTTTCTCTAGAGGACCCCGCAAAAAGGGGCAGTTGTCCTTTTGGTTTTCCTTTCAAACCCCACCAACAAGGGGTGCCAGCTCCAGAAAATCCGCTTCCATATGTCCCTTATCAACATTGCCATTGGGCAACTTGGCAACTTCGGTGAGCATGATATCGCATTCTGGTATAGTCAAGCCGCACACGTTGCAAGGACACGTTGCAAGGGTCATTGTAACATGAAACTCAACACATGTTTAAAAATTCGAGCTCACAACGTGCTGCCCGCGCAGGTACAAGGCGAATATCACAAGATGTCGATCCATAGTCAAATAATGGTTGGGGTTTGCTTTCAGGCGTCGGCACAACCGTTGTTTGCTTAGGGCATTCACTTGTACCAAGCTTAGCACAGGCTCCGCCCAGAACTCCGCAACTTCAACGCCTGCATCGATGCGTGCGGGGAAGGCTGTGCAACTGCTGTGTCGCCGTGTCATGTGTCATTTGAAGTAGTGTTGCACGGTGACTCTTATGGGTCATGTTATTTTTGTTTTCGATCTATCATGTGGCTGATTCTAAGGGGGTGTGAAGGTCTGAAAGCAGGTTTGTTTCACTATAGCCAACCACATCACATGAGCGTTGACGTGGACAATGGTGCCGGTCCTCTCATGTTATAGACAATTCCAGTTGGGGCATGGCATGGGCTGGTTCAGGCGTGCCCCACTATGGGAGATGATGTGATTGCCAAAGACAGGGGCCCAAGAGAAATGTCCGTGTTTCTCTTCAGTTTTCCACCAAGCACCATCCAACCAAAAAACAAACTTGGAGCACGCCCAAGTAATACAGGGCTATTCCACAATACCAAAGACTGCCTTGCCTTGCTCAACTTCACAGCTTTACAATTTCTTATCAACTTGTTGCTGACCTCAGGCATTGAATTGAAGCAACGAAAAGGGCACCACATACAAGCTTCCCCAAGTTGTTTCATTTGATAAACCCACTTGTGTGGCTTAAGTTGCTTTGTACAAGAACGAGCTGGACCCTTTCAGGACGCTCTCAGATGTCAAAATCGATTACGATTCTGACGAGTTTTTAGGATTGACTCGTATGCAAGGTCCATCCACTTGGGCCTCTCATGTCAGTCTGGGCTTGTTCCCTTTGGGCCCACTGGCCATTGCAGGGTTTTGCTCTGGATTCCGGTGCCTGTCTCAAACATCTCTTGGTCACATCCGAGGCACGCCCAAATTGACAGCCAACCATGGAGGGAAAGCTGGGCGCTAAATATGGCATGTTTGTTGATGTGTTTAAAAAGAGACCAAACGGGAACCGGATTGTTTGTTTCCGGATACCCCATTCAGCACCAGGAAAGGCTTGACACTTGATGCCACTCGACCAAAATTGAGAAGGTCTTTTCCAGCATCATGTTTTGTACATGTAGCATATTCCGCCCCGCATATGTGCCGACGTGTCAAACGTAGTTGGACCCATTGTTGGTTCAGTTTGCAACGACGCTACGTACCGTGACACCCAATGAACGGAAGCACTCAAATCCAGCTATGTTGGACGAATCATGCCCTGTCGCAGCCATTGGCTGCAAGTGCACCAACAAGGCTCAGCGAGAGGGAGAAATGGGGGCGGGATGTAGGTTGGATCCCCTAACAGCAAGCAAGCAAAGCAATTCAAAGCTTTTTTTCCTAACTGCCATATTTAGGGAATCCATGGTAGACAGTTGCACAGCTGCCTCGTTGTAGTATTTTACTCCACTGTCCGCTGGTCAATGGTGACGTTGGATGTGCCAAAACTTTGGTTCATCGCAAGGAGCAAACAAGTGATGGTCTTGGGTCTTTAGGGACCCCCCAAATGACCTTTTTTGGTTTTCCTCTAAAGCCACCAAACAAAGCTGCCTCAAGAAAGGACACGCCGCCTGGTTATGTCCTAACCTGCCATTCCAATGCCGAGCTTCAGGGTGAGTGTCTTCAAACTTTGAACTCCGGAGTTGCTACACTGCACATGCTGAGTTGCAAGCTTGCTTTGGGGCTTGGTCGAATTCATCACAGGCTCCCAAACACTTAAAAGCACATTCGTTTGGCCGAGTTCCGCTTGTTGGCCCCCTAAGAAGCTCCTACTTGGCCTTGGCCACTCACACTGGCCAGACATCCCAGCAGATCAGCGGAGTTTTGCGCCGGAGAAGGCATGTTGGACCTGGACCTCAGCGGGCTCGACGGCAAGGAGGTGCGCCTGAGCGTGGAGGAGGACACGCACCTGGTGGTTCTTTTCCTTTTTTGGTGTGTTTTTTTTTTGTTTGTTTCTCAGCTGAAAGTTGTGGGGTCGATAGGCCCCGGCAATCAGGGGTGGTTTGCGGCAGATTTCAGGGAGGCTGGGCTTGTTTATGTTTATTGGGGGGAGGGGGGGGGATGGTTTGAGGTTGGGGCCATGGTTTTGCGCACGGCGCTCGTTGGTGTCAAAGGCTGTCTTGTTTTTGTATGTATGGAAATGTTGGGCCGGGGTTCTGTCGTTGTTTTTAAAAGGGAGGGGTTAACGAATTGGAATTCATGTTGTTTGGATTTGGGTGAGGCCACGTTTGTTCTCGTGGGGAGTGGTTTTGGGACTTGTGTGGGGACGGGGTGGTAGGGCAACTGTTGTGTCTCTCTGTGATGTGTTTCTTTTACGGGGATGAGGTAACACCATGCATTATTTCCTTTTGGAGGTGGGGCGTGCGCTAATTTCCATAGGTATCCAAAGGAAAGCACCAATCAAAAGTCGGCCAAGGCAAGCCACCATTCATTCCAAGAGAAGCCACCATTTAATTCCTGCCTTGGCTGAAATGAATATTTCTTTATGTTCCCCTGTTGGTTTTAAAGGGAATCGATTTCACTTCTGGAAATATGTTTACTTTTTCCAGGGGTCTTAACCAAATGGAAGCCAGAGTTGGGTAAACCACTCAGATTCCCTCTGATGTTGACCCCGCATATTAAACTGGTTGATTTTGAGACATGCGGATTGATCAATATTCCGTTCGGCCCCCAAATGACCATGGGTAGCTTCAAGGGAAAAATTACATCCCTTACCATGGCCCAATCTGGGCATGGGAAGGACCTTCTAGGCAGCGAGCTCTTGCAGCGGGTGAGGGAACAGCTTCCGCTGAAGCCAGGCGTGCGGGAGAAAACTGGTTGAAGCTAATCTTCTCCCGTTGTAATTGCCCATGTGTTTCTGATGACCTCCTCAGATTCGGTTTCTGATGACCTCCACGGATTCGGTGTCACAGACCGCTTGGCACTTTTGGGTTTTGATTTGGTGCTCCCATGTTTGTTTGTGCACACCCAATTGTCCAAAGGATGGCAATCAAGTGACAGAGCTGTTCAAATCGATTGGCGTTGTCATCCTATGTGTCACCGTTCCTTGCTCATTTGCAAGCGTATATGTCTTATCCTGGCCTTTGAAGGTTATTTTATGTGTCCCGTCCTTGGGGTCAAAATTTGGAGAGGGGACCTCAGAACTCCTTTGGGTTTATTTCCCTTCGAGCGAACTTGAAGGGGATCTTCAAGGCAGATCTAGGACCATGGGCAATTGATTTCCCTAAGCTCCAAACATTGCCAGACGGATCGCTGACCTTTTGAACTTGTTGCCTTTTTTATGTTTCCTTATTTTTTCTTCCTTTCAACCAGCAGCGGTGTTGCTCCCCTTGGATGGCAAGTGAATGTTGTTGAACCGCCCACCGGTGAGCAACAATCCGTTAGCACATTGACCCCCAAGCTGCGAGTGCTGACTGTGCCGCTTGGGTATCCCAGTGGATCCGCTTCCCTGATGTAGGTCAACAAGGGCTTGCCGCCCTTTAAGAACCAAGAGGAAAATGGCTGGTGACCTGCTATAGTTGTAACTGGGATCCCCTGGGTATGCCAACAGATTGTTGCTTATCATATTTGATTCTACAGCCAGAGGCGGAGTGCTTCACCTGAGCTTGGGTGACAAGGAGATATTGCTGGACCGCACGCTGCAGGAGCAGGGTGTGTCGTCTTCCACTGGCGTCTTCACCTACACGCATACCAACGTGCTGGACGCGTGGGAAGCTCTTCAGTCAGGACACGTGGAGAACCAGGTGCTCGATGGAGTCACACAGCTGATCTGGGAAAAGGAAAGCGTCCAGGCGTTGTTGGAAAAGTTGCCGGTGACCCTGCAGAGTATGACCTTTGGCGACAACTTTAACCTTCGTCTGCAGGGGGTGTCCTTACCCGGCAGCTTGCAGATACTCACCTTTGGCGAACATTTTAACCAAAGTTTGCAGGGCGTGGCGTGGCCCGGCAACTTGCGAAGCCTGAGCTTCGGCCACTGTTTCAACCGCAGCTTGCAAGGGGTGACCTTGCCCGAAGGCTTGCAGAGCCTGGCCTTTGGGGAGCGCTTCAACCAGAGTCTGCAGCGCGTCAGTCTGCCCAGCCGCCTCTTGAGCCTGAAGTTTGGAGATGAGTTTGACCAAAGTCTGCAGGGCGTCAACCTCCCCGAAGGACTGCAGAGCTTGGCTTTCGGCAGCAGCTTCGACCAGAGCATGCAGCAAGTGACGCTGCCCAGTGGCTTGCAGAGCCTGGCATTCGGGGATGCGTTCAACCAAAGCCTGCAGCACGTTTCGCTGCCGTACGGCCTGGAATGCATGAAACTGGGCAGGAGATTCAACCAGAGCATGCGAGGGGTCCTTCTGCCCCGAAGCTTGCGGAGCCTGTGCTTTGGCATGAGCTTCAACCAAAGCATGCATGGTGTGACGCTGCCGGGCCAACTGCAACACCTGAAGTTTGGGGATGAGTTCAACCAGAGCTTGGGGACCCTTCCCCTCAGCCTTCAAGACCTGGCCCTGGGCGCGCAGTTTGCAGGCTGGCAGGACTTCAACTCGCGCGACTTGCAGAGCTTGACGCTCAACGATCACGCGATAGGTTTGGACCTGTCTCTCCTCCCGAAGTTGCAGAACTTGAGGTTCGATGATGAGTTCAACCAGCCTTTGAACCTAACTCTTCCCAGCTTGCAGAGCTTGACCTTCGGACATGAGTTCAACCAGAGCCTGCAGGAGGTCGCGTTGCCCAGCAGCCTGCGGATCCTGAAGTTTGGCTTCAAGTTCAACCAGAGTTTGGAAAAGGCGACTTCGCGGTTGCAAGTGGTACCCTTTCATATATTTTCATGAAAACGTCCAACAATGGTTCCGATTGTGCCTTCCAGCCTTGGGCAAGTAAGGTGAGTTTACCTAGCAACTTACAGCACTTGACATTTGGCGCAAGATTCAATCAAAGCTTAGAGGGCGTGGCTTTGCCCAGCAGCTTGGCGTCCTTGTGCTTTGGCTATGAGTTCAAGCACGGCTTACAGAGGGTCCATCTGCCGGAGCTGCAGCACCTGGTCCTTGGCGAACGCTTCAACCAGAGTCTGCATGGCCTGAGTCTGCCCTGCAGCTTGCAGAGCTTGAGATTTGGGAACTTCTTCAACCAGGAGCTGATTCCCTTGCCCGACAGCTTGCAGAGCTTGACGTTCGGCCGCGATTTCAACCAAACCTTGTTGCATGTCACCTTGCCACCAGGCTTAAAGCACCTGAGCTTTGGAGACGAGTTTAATCAAACTTTGGGACATCTGCCCAGTGGATTGCAGAGCTTGAGCTTCGGCTATGAGTTCAATCAACCCCTGGAGACCTTACCAGGTGGCTTGCTGAGCCTGACATTTGGTGACCGCTTCAGTCGAAACCTGGACCTTACTTTGCCCGACTTGCAGAGGTTGTGCGCTGGCCGGGTCACAGTCAGCGCTGAGGCAGTCGAGCCTTGAGGCGCTGAACCGCGCGCGGAGTGAGCCTTAGGTATCTCCGTATGCGCCACTTGTACATAGTGTTCGGAAAGATGCCACTGACGCCAAAACGCTTGGGATTGGAACCTTGGAATGGCTCATCGTATCTGTCAGCTTCACTGGGCTCCGGAGGTTGGCACCAAGGAGTCGGCCAAGAACCTGATGTGTAGGTGCGATGTCTCTAGGCAAAGCACGGTGCCATGAGGCACTTGAATCACGACTCCAGAGTTCTTTCATCATCTGAGGTTCAGTTTTGATTTGGTTTGGGGTGAGTTTGGGTTTGGGCTGACTTATAGTGACTTTAATGTGCGGTCATGGTGGATTTTGAGTTGGTTCAGTGCGATTTAGGGTTCGTTGAGGTGGGTGTATGTAGCCGCTATATATACCGCTATGACATCTGCTCGCAAACGAAAAGGATCACTCTTTAGCAATGCACAACACGAAATGTCACAAGCCATGACACACACACACACACACATGTGCAATAGTCGGGAAACTTTGGCTTCTTGCGGACAATGACGATTATCATCAGGCCTTTCATATCAGAGTCAACGGCGCGCATCAGCGAACATGACCGACGACGGTGCATATGTGTTCCCCTGCTCCATTACTTGGAAATCTAGTGTCCCGGCAGGTGTTTATGTCCACGCTGCGAACCCATTTAATCGCCCATAAAAAGACGCAATGTACTCAAACAGGATTTGCATTCTGGGGGTGCCGTGTTGTTGTTTACTTTAATTCCCCAAGCAGAAAAAAAGGTGAACACTGAGGTGCTTGCTTCCACCTTTAGCCGTTGGTTGCCGTCAAAGCAACAATGTCCACAAATTTGACTTTTTACAGGTCACCTGCAGGACCCATTTTTGCACACTTTTTAGAATTGCGCCCGAGTTGCAGAAAATTGCGCCCGAGTAGCGGGAAATTGCGCTTGAGTTGCGGGTTCGTTTTCTCTCGAGCGCTTCACCAAGCATCTAGGCAACCTCAAAAGTGCTCGAATTGGATTTGAGCAGAGAAAAACGCTCGAATGCCAAAAAACTGTCTGGAGCACTTTTTTGTGTATCAAAGGGTCCTCCAGGCAACTATCTCAAAGTGGAGAACATCTTGCAGGTATGTCCCATTTGAACATTTCACTCAATTTTCCCGCCAGACTCAACTCCGTATTCTTCCAAGCTTGATCCGAGCCTGAAAGAACTCGACTTATTCCACAGTTCCAAGCTTGGTTTGGTTTTCTTCAGAGTTTCCCTTTTCAAGTTTGACACCCCCAAAATCCCCCAGACCTTCCGGAGTGTGCCATTTGGTGTTCACCAGATTCGACACGGAAGGCGCCTGGGTTGCGGCGCTGCAGCTGTTAGCAACGCTGCCAAAGCTGCAGCCCAACGCGCCCTCGACTCGTAGAGCAACGGGCGCGATCCCCTCGACTTCCATGGGGCAGCCTCAAAATCGGTTTCCCTTTAAGGAAGTCATGCCCACCTCCATTTGCTGAAAACCATATGTCTTTTTCCTTTGTTTGTTTCAAAGGGAATCGGTTTCATTACTGGAAATACACTTTTGTTTTTAGTGTTTTGTTTTCCAGGGAGGTTAAGCAAATGGAAGGAGAGGATTCGTTGTTTTTCTCGCTTGAAACCCTCCCACCCTTTTCACATGGAACCCGACTTTTCGGGGGGTCCTGTCAGGTTCCGTGTTCATGGGTGGGAGGGTACGTGGATGCAGCGCCAAAATAGGTTTTCACCCCAAACAACGCTCCACCGTTACGTAACCGCGCGCGCTCGGGACGATGCAACACTGCATGCACTTTAAGTCTCTCACGCAGGCCGATGCAAAATGCACATTGTCTTCGGGCCACAAGTTGATGCAGTTGGCCGTTTTGCATGGCAAAAGGAACGCGTGTGCTTTGGCGCCTAGGTATTTTAGCGATCGTCACGGTCAAGATAAGCAAAAGCGGCAAACAACGCTAACAATGGCTCGCGCGTGGGCAGGTGGGCTTACTAAGCGGGTGTGCTTCCCATTTGGCATGCGTGTGTGCCGTGCTGAGAGGTTGCGCGTAAGCGGGTGTGCTTACTATTTGGCAGGAGTATGTGTTTACTTCCTGGTGGAGCCCCTAGCAAAGGTCAACCTCACTTGGGGCTAGTGCCCGTGTGCCGCTGATCCCCTCTTCGTTTCCTTTTTGCAATTCTCCGCATGGACACTTGCTTGTCGTCTACTGGGCTCACAGTACAGCGAAACTGTTGCATCCGTGCCGGAGGGCTCGGTTTGGCGGATTTGCTCGTTCGTTCGATCCTGACTCAACACACCGCGCAGCCGTAAGAGCGATTGCGCCCCTTGACGGGGTCTACGAATTATTCTCGAGCTGCCCAAGTGTCGTATGGAGAGAGGTCAGGACATTCCTGCCCGACCCAAGGGTATCCTCACCCAGAATCAAGAATGGCCACCTGACTCTGCGCCAGAACTCCTAAATTTCCTGGACCTGCCTTGCATCCGCAGACTACGCTTTTTTGCAAGCACACAGTTTGGACATTTGTTGGCCTACCCACTGAGGGAGTAGGTTTTCAACTTCCGAAACGCAAAGCGATGTTTTTCTTCATTGCTATTGCAACCATTTTCCCTTTGACAATTCACAGCCACAGCTACCCGAAATTGCTGAGCCTCCAAACGACGGGTCCTTCTTTCAACGCCCCCAAGTTTCATATCCTATGGGTGCGGCTTAAACTTGGGCCCATTTGGGCCTCCGCTTTTGGGTTTCCTTGGAAGCCGTGTCCCGAAAAGCAACATTCATGCACATGGTGGTCCCTGTTAAGGCACCCCCTAAATGGACTTCGGTTTTCCTTTTGGTTTGCCGCAAACGCCCCACAAAAAAAGAGTGCAGAGTCTTCAAAGGCGGGCCATATCCACTTGGCCCTCTCGAATCTGAGGCGATCACGCTGAGCTCGGTCATCGCGAATCTCGGCGACCGCTGGCAAATAGCCCTGCGCGGCTCTCGGATCGTCCAGACACGTTTTTGTTGACGCAGGCGCGGTGCGGGGTCTGTTTTGATCATGGTTGTCAAGGACCCGCCCAAGAGGGTACCCAAAAAAGGCACCCAAAACAGTCCTGCATGAAACCCTATGCATACTGTGATAGCTAAGCCAAAAAATCCCGACTGGTGCCTGGTTTTGTCTCAGTCGAAAAGCCTGATCAATGTACGTGTGCATGAGGCGTCAGTCGCTTTAACCACTCGTCAGGTGGTTTGTTCTTCATGTGAGCTGGACATTCGCCAGACCTGCTGGCATTCCTCTCCTCTGACAACGCACCCACACAACAACACATTGGTCACTATCTTGCGTCATGAGAGAAGGTCGGATGGGCAGAAGGTAGGCGAGGAAAATGTAACGCATTCGGATTTGGTCCATCCACAGGTTTCATGTCCAAGTGGGTATGTGTTCTAACTTTTGGCAAAGAGTCTATCTCTGGTCAAGCAAAAGATCGTAGCCTAGAAAACAGAGGCAGACACATACGCAGAGACACCGAAGCACACGCAGACCCAAGCGTTTGCTCCGAGGTCTCTTTGCCCGTGGTCGGACCAGGTTTCCGCCGGCGCAACCTTGGCCTCCTGCGCGCGGGCGGAAGCCTGGTGGGGGGGGTTCCGTCGGTTGGTGGGTCCCCCGACAAGAGATTGCCCCCAACAGGAGGTTCCGCAAGAAGCGATTGCATGTTGGATTCCAGTTGTATTTCCAAACGTGTAAACCTCCCTTGCTATCCTTGCTTCCCAAAGTTTCAGCCAGAATCAGCGACTTTTCAGGCAATGAACTATGCAGGACGCTTTGAAAGAACCGCTTTGGCTTCAATTGAGCAGCGAGCTTCAGAAGTTTCCGCTTCAACCATACTGTCCCCCAACTTGGGAAGTCCCTGACTCTTTCACATGCTCGGAAGGGGAGACAGAACATGACCAGGGTAAAGCAAAACTGGCGGTGGAATAGTCCGGGTGTCTGATTCGTCTTTGCGAGGCGACTGCCTTTACTCAGCGCCTAGTTGTTTGCCTTTGTATGAGTGTCCATTAGTTCCCTTTCGCTTTGGTGGACATGGATATCATGGGGAACTATGTCCAACAATCATGTTTGAGGAATGGGGAGTTCAGCATAGCCCTCAGGGGCTCCCTTTTGGTTGGGTTTGCAGCAGGCATTTTGGACACATCTCTATTTTGTTTAGTGATAGAAGTCACTTCAGATTGTTGAGTTGTGAATCCTCTGCGCTTTCGTGTTTTGCGAAACTAGCGCCAGCCTCGGAAGATCCAGGTTACAACGGCGGACCCAAACGGGGGTGCCCTATTTGGCTAGGCAGGGAATGAGTTGGCATGATTTGCAAAGCATCCAACTGGTGGTTTTCTGTAAGGGGACCCCTGAATTCATTCCCACATTCCCAACTGAGCACCAGCAAGTTGGGACAACAAGGAATCTCTGGACATGCGTAGCGCTTGCGCTGCGCAAGGCTCCGATGCCAAATTTCAGAGAGATGGGTCCTTCTTCAAACAGCTAGAGTTGAAGGACAATGCAAAGAAAGGATACATGGTCGTTCAGGGTTCCAATGAGGCTCCTTGCCCTCCGCCTCCGCATTGAAAGAGTTCACACTAAGGGTTCAATTTCGGTGACGCGTGACATGGTTCCACAGGTGAAAGGGAGGTTGGCCATGCCCGAAGGCTCCAATGGCTCAGCGCGGTTCAATCGCCACGGGTTCGATGGTTGTTGTTGGGAAGCATTTTGCATCTTTGCTTGTGGTGGTTTGGTGGGAAATTCCCACTTGACTGCTAAAATTTAAATTTTGGCTCGCCTAATGTCAGCCAAGAACAGGGTTGGCTCTCCCATCACCAGCCCATCCAGGTCAGACAGCCAATCCGTGTCACCTCTGACACCAAACGGGTGTGGCGACAAAGGACCCTTTTTGGTCTAAGGGGACTCTACCGGGGAAAATGTCTCGCCTTGTTTCGCAGGCAGCAAGCCATGGCTTTGTTCTGGCAGCTGCCAGTGCAGAGACTGCAGCCGAATGCCGGGGAGCCAAGAGCGCGTGACAACCGAATGACGGGACAAACATATGGTGCCTTTTTTGGTGTTGGTGCCCCTTTGGTGGACTTGAAGGGAACCAAAGAAGGAAAGCCACCATTTTGAAGGTGTCCGAGAGAAGTACACCCCCTTCTGAAACACACACACACACCCGCAACATCTTGGCCAGTTTACCCCCTGGATTTGAACCCGCCGACATGCTAGTTCGGCTTGCGCGCTTCGCACAGACGACGTGTCTACAACCATACTCCTGAACAGTTTGGTGCACGTTAGGAAATGCACCAAGTCAAGGGACAGATGTATGTACATAGCATAAGCGCATGTATGTGTAATGCATACATATATATATATATATACATATTGAGAAGTATATTGCACACCTAAACTCCTAGATCAGGGGCACTTTTGGGTATGCATATGATTGTTGTTGCTAAATACTCTACACATTCGCGGCGCTCAGTGCTTCCCATAGTTTTCTGCGCCCCAAGTTTTTAAAGAGCAAGCTTGCGGTGGCTATTTGTTCACCTCCGAATCTCCGAAGGTGGGAAAGCCACCTGTCGTTCGTGGCACAAGGCATGGTCGCGCAGTATGCATAGTGTTGTCATTTGGTGATTTATGGTCATTCGGAAAGCACCGAACTGCAGAGATGTGCCCTCCCCCCGGATAAAGCAAGGCATTGCAGCCGAAAGTAACCACCCCCTGAAAAGCAGGCACATCGCAACGCACCGGCGTCGTGTTGCCTGTCGCACATGCACTTGCATCACAGGGAATTGCAGCCACTGTGGAAAGCACAGGCTGCGAGGTATAGCGCCGTGAAAATGGGAAAAAGGTTGTAGGTTCGCCAAAGCGATGTGCGTGATTTTTGATGTACAGTTTTCGCTTCTTGCTCACTGTTGCCCAGCAGTGGCGAAGGCACGGTCATCCACAACATGCTGGAAGGACGTGGCCTGCCCTGTTACTGCTCACACCCATGTGGATGAAGAACTGTATATGCCTCGTGTGAAATGACATTTCCAAGTCTGCGTACAAAAGGGGAAATGCTCACGATGCCATAAGGAATTCGCATGGCATGAAGCCACTTACATCCACTGACCACGCTGAAGCGAACCCCGGTCGCGCCGCGTGGCATGAGCCACAACGTCTTGTATGGGAACGGCCACCCTTTACTGGATATCACAATGCTTATGTGCCAAGCCACTCATTGAGAGGGGAGCTCGGTTCGAGTCATATTTTCCATTTCCTGACTAGGTCCCCCAGTAGTGCCCTTTCTCACCCCTTTTTTGGTTGGGAGCGTTCCCCTACTAAAATAGACTACAGAAAAAAAGAGTTGGTACCAACGTATTCTCACCTCTCAAATCTGGAGGTCCTAGCTGAGGTTATTGCGGCCAACAGCCTCCTTAGTGCCTTGGCCCGCAGCCTGCAGTGGCAGCTGGCGCTGTCGCATCTGGCGCAGCTAAATGCGCCCAATGCCATGGCCTCGGTTGCCGGCCCGGGCTGACGGGGGGGGAAGGATAAAAGCAAGGGAACTCTGAAGGTAGGGGGTCCAAGATGAATCTTTCGCAAAGTTTGGGCTAGTTGCCAGACAAGTAAACCGCACCCCGCACCTACTTGCAAGCATGACAAGTCCACTATCCCGAAGGAAGTGGCTGGGGAAGCTGCCACCATGAAGATCCCACAATTTAGCATTCGGTATCAGCACGCGGGGTTGTCTGAGCATTGAAAGACCCCTTGTAAGTGGAAGCCACGCGTCAGAAGTTAATTCCTCTGCTACCCTGGGATCGATCACAAAACCTCCTCACTCAAAATGATGAGATGTGTTTTTGTTGTTTTTTCTTTTCGGGGCTACCCCTGGCAAAACGGGCGGTTTTAAAGTTTTGGCTTCCCTTTAGAGCTTGTAAAGCAAACAGAGGTATCGCTGGTTTTTGGGTAGGTGGAACTCCACCAATCCAAACCAAACCAATTAGAAGGAAGTTTCTTCATTCCAAGCACAATTGTGTTCCGAAAGGTACTGGAGCCAACTTTCGGAGGTGCAGCTCGAGCCAAAAAATCGAAGGTGATCAGCTTCAACACGGTGCTGGCGGGCTGTCGGAACCACTGGCACACCGCCCTGGAGCTGCTCCGAACCGCCAAGGAGCGCCCGTCGAGGCGGCTCGCGGCTCCGCCCGAGTGCGTGGAGACGTCCGGTTGGCTTAAGAGGTACTTGCTGCCCAGAGGCTCCCGATTGATTTGCCTGTCTCTTAACTAAAGCAGTGGTTTCTGGCTCAACAGCTTGGCGCCGGTCGCAAAGCCGGGGCCACGTTCTGGAAGCGGCGACTGGCGAATCCGATTTGATGTTGTGCATCAGCCAGAAATGCCAGTTCGGAGGCATCTCGGTGTGTCCACCAAATGACAAATTGGCGACCCTCAAAGCAGCGGCTGCTTGTTTCAAGGTTCAAGACGGCATCTGAAAAGCTAGAAGCCATGCTGAACCGGTTGGCATGGTTCACGACAACCAAGGCTAACTCACGCTTGCTTCGTTCCCTGGATTTCCTTGGCTGGGAAGAGTTTTGTTCGGGTAGCCCTCGGATAGAGATCTGGGGAAAGGTTGGACAATCCCCAACCCCTTGCCAGACCACGCTGTCGCTTGTTGCAGCCTACATGAGGGCTTGTCTCCAAATACTGTGTGTGGATGAACAAAATCTACTTTGCACCAGTTGGGATGGACGAAGCCCTATGAATACTGGGATTTGGCACCTACCATCTACCATGGATAACATCCACAGTACAAACCAACCCCAAAACGGGTATTCTCAAAAGACAGACCCACTAGCTATCCATCAATCTACGTAGTCCCCATTTTCCGCTGTTGTATTTAAGATCAAACCCACTGTGCGGTTTGAACATGTCCCCCCCTTGCTTGTTGAGTTGGTGAGGAGCAGTCCGTAGCTCCGAACGCGGGGTCTTTTGCTGCCTGCATCGCGCAGAGCTCAGTCCGCTCTCACGGGACCCTGAACGGGTTCTAATAAACAGGTTCCGATCGCTTGAACCAAAAGAACAACATATTTTCCTGGAACCCATTTGTTCCCATAGGTCGCCAAGGCTTCTTTTGAAGCGAGCTTAGAAGAAAATGAGCTCACCGCATGATGGAGGTTTCTCACTTGGGGAAAACATCCAGTTTGTGGCTTCTAACAAGTTGTACCAAATCTCATGGCTGTCTTACTTGCCCAGAGACGAGCTTTGACTTTTGAGCTGTCCCCTTGCTTGCCACTTTTGGTTGTTTGTGTATTTTAGTCATGCCCCTACATGGTTAGCCCAACAGCAGTTTCACCAGTTGCCCAAAGTGGTTTGTTTGAGGGGAGGGGGGGGGATGGTGCTCTCAACCACATGGTTCTTGTTTTTCACAGCCACTGGGCAAGCAAGTAAGCTTTGCAAGGAACAAACACCAGTGAGCAGATCATGCAATGTACCCCGAGCTCAGGCCCTTTTGCTTGGGCTTTCTTCATTGTAGAGGCTGCAAAACTCGGAACCGCGTGTTTTTCAATCGTTTGGTATCCCTTGGGCTTCCCTTGAAACACCATCCATCGGAATTCCCAGGTCTTTGGAGAAGCTCAGAGAGCGTTTCAATCTCCGGTTCTGAGAGCCCCGCAACGGTGCAGGGTTGGTTGTTTGAACAACTAGTTGCCCAGGGGAACCCAGAGGTTGTTTAACCAACAGTGGTTTTCTGTTTTCTATGTTGAAGCAAGGGACGAGGGCCCGTTTTGATGCAGGGCCATTTGAGATGTTAAGCCTCACCTTTTGGTGTCCAATTAGTTTTCCTTTTGGTTGGGCGGTGGTGTTAACGTGGAAATGCAGGGAGCCCAGTTGAGGGGCACCGCGGAGAAGGAAATGCAGGGAACCCTGTTTTTGTTTTGAATATTAACGGCTCGACGCACGTCGGTCTCTGCTGATCATGCTTAAGTTGGCGCTTTGCCTTTTTCTGGGAAACCCTGTTTTGGTTGGTTTTACATGGAAACCAAATGGACCACCATGTTTGGTGGCCTCCCCCTTAAAGAAAGACCGTTTCCATGTGCAGTTTCCATTGGGTTCCGTTCGGCTAGGTGGCAGCAGGCCAGGCGTCTGAGTGGCCTATGGCCTTAAGCCTCTTGGCCCTCGCCGGAGAAGGCGAGACCTTGCCCTCGCAAGGTCCAGGGTCCCTCAAGCTTAGCCTTGGGCTTAGCCTTGGGCAGTGTCCCAAGGCTCGGTTTTGGCAGGGAAATCTGAAGGTTTTATGCCTGACGGAAAGTCACACTGAGCTATAGAACATAGAAAAGACCTACAAGTTTACTTGGGATCTGGAAGTCTCGAAATGGAAACAAACATGCATCAGGTGCTATGGATAATGAATCAAGGCGAATTAGGCGAATAGTTGCTTCCACGAGTGGGTCTACTTGGGTGTGTTCAACAACAGGAGTGTGTGAAGTTTCATGATATGGTGGCTTTCCTTTGGTGTAACCCAAAGGGACCCCTTTTTTGTGCTAGCAGCGTCATTAATGACCTGCAAAGATTCTCCCATTTTGTATCGCAGAAACCATGTGACGGGGGAGAATGACATTTTGATCTGTCCCATGGCTCGCGCTGGCCTGAAGCACGGGCACTGCCCTCCGGGGCCTTTGGGAAGACCCGTTGCATTTGGTTGCATTTGGATGGCTTCATAGGTTCCGGAGGAGTGTTGCTTCAGCAGCCTTACGTTTCGGCTTGTCATAGGCAGCTATTTCGCGGTTTAGGGTTCGTCGTTTGGGACCCGACACACGCAAGGTAGTCACAATTGCACGCACTTTGCAACACAGAATAGGGAAGTCAAGAGTTTGAGCGGAACTCAATGCTTGGACAAGCATTGGTCTTGGCTGAAAAGGCTTCTGCCAAACTCTGCGAAATCACGGTTCTAGTTCCTGGAGTCCTACATTGTGAGTTGCATGTGTAGATGCAACCACAGATATGTTTATCCAGAGCTTGGAAAGTTGTGCAAGCGCCCGAAGAATCCCCCTCTCTCTCTCTCTCTCTCTCCCTCCCTCTATCTCTCTCTCTCTTTCTCCATATATAGACAGACATACAGACAGACATACATACATAGGTACACATGTATAAATATATAGGAATGAATATAAGTAGATAACCATAAATAAATAAGTAAATATTATATATATATGTATATATATATATATATATATTCACCCCCTACTTTTGAAACTCTCAGTGTATTCTACGGACTGTACAAGTGAAAAGGTGGGCCCTTGGAGAGGGGGGTGTGAGTATATGTATATTATATGTATTATCAAACGCTGGAAAATACAGGTCAATCGCACCAAACCAGGGTGCATGGGGGGCAGGAACCATATATATATATAATGCACCCCCCCCCCAAAAAAAAAAACGGTTTTGAACCTGGACAATTGCCAAAATCACTGGGAAAAATGCTACTTTTGAGAAACATGTGTATTTTCGCATCTGGCGAAGCGCATATTTTTCAAGTTCAAGGCCAGTTCAATTAGTTAGTCAAGCAACCAGTCAGCAAGTCAGCTAATTAGTCAGTTAAATAGTTGTAATGAGTGAGCTCTGAAGCCAGTTAGCTAGTTAATTGGCTAATCAGTTAGTTATCTATTTAGCAGCCTAGTTAGTTAGATAATACTGAAGGTATTCCCCTAATAGTCCCCTTCCTTTACTAGTGAAATAGTTAGGGAACACTAGCTAGGGGTATACCAAGAGAATACTTCAGGAATACTAGCGCATTACTAGGGGAATACTAGGGCAATACTAGGTACACACTCAGGGAATACTGGGGCAATATTAAAGGTGAATACTAGGATAATACGCGGGAATACTGAGGGAATACTGGGGGTATACTCTCAAGCTGTCTGACTTCTCTCAGGCTTCCTGACTAGGGCAATACTAGGGCACTACTAGGGAAGTACTAGGAAAATACGATAATTGAATACCGGAAGAATTCTAGGATAATACTGAGAGAAAACTAGGGGTATACCAACAGAATACTTGAGGAATACCAGGGCAATACTCAAGGTATTCCCCTAGTAATTCCATCCCTTTACTAGGGGACATAGCAAGGGAATACTATGGGGTAGTGAGGAATTACTAGGGGTATACCAAGAGACTACTAAATTATCTGAATACTAGTGCAATAATAGGGGAATACTAGGTCAATCATAGGGTAATACTAAGGAAATACTCAGGGAATGCTAGGGCAATATTAAAGGTGAACACTAGGATAATATTATGAAAATGCTGAGAGACTACCGGGGGTATACCAAGAGAATGTTTAAGGAATCTAGGGCAATACTGAAGGTATTCCCCTAGTATTTCCTTTCCCGTACTAGGAAATACTCGGGGCATACCAAGAGAATACTAAAGGAATACTAGGGCAATACTAGGGAAATACTCAAGGAAGACTGGGGGAATACTAAAGGACAGGGCAATACCAGAAACATACTCAGAAAGTACGAAAGCGTCGCATGCGTTCTTGAGGTCATCAAAGGTCATATCCTCAGGCTGCTTGGCCATGCTAGGACAGGGTCAGAACAAAGGGCAGAAGAGGAGTAAGGAAGCGCTGGAGCCAGATAGCTTCAAATATGGACTTGGTTCTGCTCAGATGCCAAGGAAACCTGGGAAAAATTGGAAAAACAAAAACAAAAACACTGAAAAGCTGAAAAGCCAAGCATTCTGAGGACATGAGGGCTGCCCCCCCCCCCCCCCCATGTCTCTCCAAATCCTTGGTTTTCCATTTTCAGTTGTTTTTTTCTGTTTTTTTTGTTCCGGTTTTTTCTCCGTTTTTTTTTAGTTTTTCAGTTTCCAAAGAGCTTCCTTGAAGAGATGCCCTTATGCAAGCATAGTGCTTGGTTGCAGTATGGGCTGGGTTTGGCAGATGAGAGACTTTTGCAGTTGCGGAAAATGGCTTGAAAAATGAGTGTTCTGGTTTTTGTCAGAAAACACCGCAAATACCAGTGTTTTCAGAGAAAACCTTGGTTTTGGGGGGGGGTACCAGATATATATATATATATATATATATTCACCGCATGTGTGCAGACCCTCTTTCCAAGCCGCAGGCGGTTTGGCGGCCAACAGCGCCTTGGGCGCCCTGGCGGAAGCGGCTCAGTGGCAGCGCGCCTTGGAGCTGCTGGCAGGAGCGCCGGGATCCCCGTAGCCCCCGGGCTAGCTCCCCCAGCAATTGTTGCCCGACCTCTCACCCAACTTTTTTGGTTGGGAGGGTTCCCCTAATGCACCCTGATTCTCAGCGCTCTGCAGGACCTAGTGCTGCTCAGAGGGAATGACTCCGGGATAAACCATGTTATTCATTCCCATTTTCTGGTGGTGCCCATTCCTAACTGGTGGTTCCCATTCCAACGTGTGTGGTTCCTTTAAGGAGGTCTGGCTCATTCCTTCATTCCCTGAGCAGCAAGTGTTCCGCTTGTTCAACCATGCCCAAGTTTAGTTGCGGGGGCCAAAAAGGGGTGGTTGGGAGTGGCGCAAACACTCGTTTATATGATAGAGTGCACTAAATGTGGAGCACAATCAGCAAACATCATGTTGGGAGTTCCCCAGGTGAGGGCCAAAAGCTTAAAGAGTTGCAGTGCTTCCAACTGGAACAGACAGGCATGTGACAGGAAAGTCTGCACGAGAATCTTCGGCGGAAGGTTTCTTGGGCTTAAATACACAAAATGTACACATTGCTGGGTGTGGGGCTTGTGTGGGGCGGCCTGCGAAATGTTAAACAAAAAGTAGACACAAAGAGTACAGCATAGCTTAGTTCAAAAGCTATCGCAACATGGCTTGAATCAAATGCGCCTTGGAATAGGGAAGACCGTGCTACAAACTACAACTGTCTTTTGGGTTGCTGTTTCACTAAATTTTGATTACCTTGGTATGATGAATGAAGGAAATGCTGTGTGCAATTCCTGGCTGCTCATATTACCGTTCATGTATGATCAGCGGAGATGCCTGTGCCATTGACGTCTTGCTCAGCTCATTCGCCTCGATGCCGCGCCCAACGGCTTCATTATAAGCTGTGCCTTTCAAGCCAAGTGGCCGGGCTCAAGTTTAATTCTTGTTGCATTGGGTTTTCATTTTCTCGCGTTCCAGCAAGCAGCTCCTGGTTCTATAGTGTGACTCAATTTTTAGCGCACGGTTTTCCTTTTGGCTGAGACGAGCGCTAGATATGGCTGTGGGTCAAAAATAGGTACCCAATCTAGAACCCTGGTAAATGGAAACATGGACTAAAACCTGCGTTTCCCTGGTGGCTTAATTTTGACCCATACCCATATGGGAACCCCGGGTTCTATGGTCCCAGCTCTCGCGTTTTCTTATTTGGCGCGTCTCGCCTCGCAGGCTTGGCTTCTCCGGACGTGGTGAGCTTCAACAGCGTCATGCGAGCCGCTGGTTTTGTGAAATGGCGAGAGAGATGGCCCTCTGGCTCGCTGCCTGAGTTGGACTTTAAACCTTTGGAGAAGTTTAACATGTTTGCAAACAACTATTTGGCCATTGCAAAAAGAGTCCAAGCTTTTTGTTTTACCTTTTCGGGGGGTTGGCCATTTTAGTGGCAAACAAAAAGTTCGGACTCTTCTTGGCCAACGGCAGTGAGCACTGGTCGCTCTTTGGTTCGACCTGACACGGACTCCTTAAGTTTCCTGGACTTTAGTCACTTTGCACAAAAAAACTTTGGACTTTGTTTGGCCCATCCACTCAGGAAGTGCGTAAACCGCTTTCAAGGTGTTGGAAAATGACTGTTTCCCGAATACCGACAAAATAACTGTTGCTTGGCAGGTGGTAAAAAACACAACGCCCTGGGGAATTACCCCGGTGATGCTGCAGATGGGATAGGGTTGTACGCGCAAAGGAAGAGCATTGAATTGGTGCTCATTTTTGCGTGAAGCTCCTTGCTCCATAGTCTACGCACTGAGCGTGAAACCCTTGAGTGCCTGCAATCCATCAAGTTTTGTTTGACACACACACACAGCCACACGAGCAAGACGCAAAGATAAGCGTGTATAATATGTACACATATATATATATATATATATATATACATAGCGATGCACATATTCAAACACCTGCTACCAACCACGTGCTACTTTCATGGACTGGTTGGACAGTTGGTTCTCACATAGGTTTGTCATACATTAACCCGCAAACACTTGCTGTTTCGCTCGCGAGAACAGTTTTGCTTTACAGGTGCGACAAACTTGCACGACGGCAGGGCAAGGGCTGTGGCGTTGGTCTCGACCACACCAGCCGACGTCGCGCATGCGACTGGCGCGATTCCCCCCCCCCCAGAGCCCCCTCCTCCCCCCCAGCCCCGAGCCTGCAAAGGTGAAGTCAATGAAGCGCAAAGCAGGTGTCCGACAAATTCGTTGATAAAACGCATGCGATTTGCACACGTGCGCAACTGTGCCTGTTGCAACTGCGGCAACCACCCCTTTTTTCGTTGACGCAACATGTTGTCTGTTAACTGAAACGGGCAGTTCTCTGTGGCCAAGAAAGGCATAGAGCCAACGCCGACACATCGGGTCGATCTCCGAGGCCTGTGAGCGTGGACACGAGTGGCAGCGAGCCATGGAGATCTTCAGCGAACTACAGGCGAGGGTGTCACCTAGGCGGCTCATTTTCTTTGGATGGTACCCCTTTGTTGGTGGTTTTAAGGGAAAACCGAAAGGCAAGCCGACTTCCATTTTGCGGGGAGCTTTGGACATGTTCTATCGGCAATGGTGCCTCAACGGGACCCCCTGTGGTTCAACCGTTTGGTATCTCGAGTGTCTCATGTTGTTGGATACATGGGAGTTGTTTGCAGTTGGAAGCTTCTTTCATAGTATGAATCCCTTGCAAGTTCTTGTTTTGTTCGTAATTGGCATTGCTTGCATCTTGCCGCTGCCCCTCATGTACTCATGGCAATCCAGGACTTTTACATGTTTATGGCCACGGCCACAACATGCTGTTGTTTTTGACATGGGTTTGTCTCCAAATTGGGAACCTCAAAATGGGCTGCTTTCCGCCCCGGGAGAAGTCGAAAGCTGACTATCCTCAGATGGTTTGAGATGCAAGTTCTGATTTTTGGGGGATGGCTTTGCTCTCGCACATTTTGAGACCCTGAAGTCGTGCCATGATGGTTCGCGCATGTTTAACCCCAACTCCTTGAACCTCGTGGTTGTGGGAAAGATTACAACCGCGCAGGTGAAGCACTTTTGGTTGCCTCAGTGTTACTTGTGGTTGCATACTCTAGCAGCTTGAATCCCCTGCACCCCAGGCTTGCTGGAACTGGTTATTTTGGAACCACGTTGACTGGTGAACCACACGAACTGCGGGAACACCTCGACTTGACCAATTCACGGAATTCTGCAAGTGTGCATGCTCAGCGTTCGAATCAAGCTGGGTTTACCAGCTGCTTCCATGAATCCCCTTGCCCAACAAGGCCATTTTGGCGTAGTGACTGGGATCGAGTCCCGGACCGATTGGACTCAGGACTGTTGTCAGACGAACTAAAGGGAGCCCCCCTTGAAGCAAATGGAACATCTTCCCGAAAAAGTGGACTGAAGCCCAGTTGTCCAGTCCCCTATTTTGGAAACAACACTACGGGTGTGAACTTGCATTGGTCCCTCCAACAAAAATCCGACGAGTTCCAAACAATACTGTGCATGGGCAGAATCCATTCGCACCACTTTGACACCATGGTTGAAACCAATATAATTTGTTTGCTGGCATTTTACAGGGGAATCATCATTGGGTTTCTTAGGGGAATCGAATCATTGCAGGGAATCTGAACGGTGCCTAAGAGGATTTCGCAACCATCCGAAGCCGGCCCTCAGTCGGCCCTCCGCGCGCGGCGCGAGTCTTTTCTCATCGGGCGAGGCGCGGGGCGAAGCGAGCGACATCAGCGTCTGCAGCGCCTTGAGCGCCCTGGGCCGTGCCGTCCACTGGCAGCGGGGGCTTCAGCTCCTCAGCCAGAGGCACAGACGCGGCATGACGCGGCCATGGGGGGGAGCCAGTGGTTGGGGTGGATTTTTTGGGTGGTTCCATTTGCTTAAGAAATTTGGGTCTTCGGTCAGAAAGGGTTTTTTGGTTTTCTATTTTGGGTGTTCCCCTTCTTGTTTGGGTCTTTCAACCCCCGATTTTTTGTTTTTTTTATTTCCCTTGTTGGTTTTAAAGGGTCGATTTCACTACTGGAAATATTTTCCTTTTTTCAGGGGTCTTAACCAAATGGAAGGGGTGGTTGAGGGAAGAATCTGGAAGACTCAAATCCAACACCCGAGTTTGGGGGAATAAATGTACATGAGAATCAAGACTCGGAAGTTGCTGCTGGGGCTCAAAAGGGATATGTCGGTCGGTGAGGAAGTGATGTGTTTTTTGCAGTTGGCATGGGACTCACCCCGGGCCCATGTTTTTAGTTGAGGCGGCTGCTACTAGTAGAAGATATCTCAGTCGGACACTGGGAATGGTGAGAATGCTTGAAACACCATGTCGTTGCGTCCTGGCCCCAACGAAGGCGAAAGACGGGGGGCGGTACCCAAAAAGGTCATTAAATGGCCGACCCCATTCGACTGCACAAAGCATTCTCATTTGCCCGTGGCAAATGCACCAAATTTTGACCTTCTGGTTTCAACCAGTTTACTGAGGAAAAACAATCCTGGCGCCACAAAAGGTGAACCTTTGATTTCTAGATTTTATGGGCACGGCAAGCCATTACGTTGTGTATGCAGGTGGCAGGAGCTGTGGGACATCGGATGCGCGCTGGATTCGGTGACGCTTGAAGGGAAGCATGGGGCCGGTGCCTATTGCAAGATAGCCACATGTCATTGTCAGCCAAAATTGGAGAAGCCAGTCATCAGACTGCAAGGACTGCATAGGGAGCAATCAGAAAAGCATGATGCACATCATTCTGGTGGGACCAACTGGTTTCAGGCCAGGTGAAAACTCGTTACTATAAACGGGCCAATTGATGGATTGACTCGAAACTTTGGAGACCATCATGTTACATGCGCCTGTGGTGCAACATGCAACCGTTAAACGCAGGGCTTTTTCTAACTTCCAAACTAGTCCTGGAAGCATAGGGCGGTATAGCTGTTAATATATCTATATGTATACATATATACTTATACATATATATATATATATATGTACTCATCACACTTTTCGCGCTTGGCACCTTCACACGGAGCTCGGCACAAAGCCTCCGGAAGCCGAGCCGAGAGGCCCTCCGGCGCCCCGGTCTTTGGGGCTGCGCTCCACGCCTGCGCGCAGGCCGCGCAGTGGCAGGCCGGGCACATGGAGCCGAAAAGACGGGTGATGCGAGGTTTCGGGTCGCCCCAAAAGGTTTCGGGTTGCAGATCTAGGTCCCCCAGTAGTGCCCTTTTACCCTTTTTTGCGGGAGGGTTCCCCTACTAAAATAGACTTCAGAAAAAGGGGAGAATAACCTCTCTACAGGAGGACCTAGACATGTAGTGTTTTTGCTTCCCATGTTCATGTGGGGTTTACCATGGCGGAAATAGCACATAAGCACGGCCAACTGCCTTCCACACAGCTGCACGACATGCGCAGGAAGTTGCAGGCAGACACGATCAACGCTACCATGTTCCACCCGTAAGTAGGTTGCGACCATGGTTCTAGGTTGATCAGCTGAACATATGTTCCAAGCACGATCCAACGATTCAGCTTGCGTCGCCAGTCCAATGGAGTAAAGCACGAGCCAAGGATGGGACATATGGTCGCAACCTAAATCGCCACCTTTCAGAGCTTCGTCTCTCTTTTGCGTTGAAGAGTTTGTAGCAGCCCTTGTGTTTTTCCGGCTGTGCCTGGTAACCTCGTGTTTCCTGTGCCGTGTTTTGCAGATGGAAACATCGAACAAAGTTCCTGGGTTTCTCCCAGGCCGCTGTGGCGGTTCTGGCCTCCATGCATGCTGCGGCGGTGGAGCGGCTGGGCAGAATTCGACCCGCCGGACCCACCTGGGTGTCTCAACAGGGGACCCCCCCAATGGAAACAGCAACAAACGCTACCTAGAGTCTCCAGCACCCATAACAAATGGGGTCGTTACCCAAATTAAGGGGTCCTGGACCCATTTTTTAAGGGTCATGGAGACTCTAGGTAGAAGAACGGGTGGCCCGAAATAGAGCGAGCAGCTTCAGGTGACGAATTTGCAGAAAGCTGCAAGAGTCTTTGTGCAAGCTTCTTTGCGAAGATCCCGCCGCAAGTTGCAAGTTTCTCTGCGCAAGTTCTCGATGCAAGGTTCTCTGCTGTCCGTGCATTTTGTGTCATGCGCCTCATTGTTTGTTCGCACAAGGTATGCATGCAAGTTTCTGTGGGCGAGCTCGCGGTGCATCTTTCTCTGTGCAGTTTTGCAAGCTTCTCTGTACAGGCTTAGCTTTCTCTCTGCAAGTTGCGCTGTGCAAGTTTTTGTGCGCATCGTTTTCAATAGAGGGGGTCATTCTCAATGCAAGTGCCGCAGAAAGTTGCACATCGACCACGCCGATCCCTGCAGAGGGAGCGCAAATCAAAAAAACGTAGAGGGTCGCGAGGGGTCCGCATACAGTAGCAAGCGGTGCATGCAGTTTTCTGCGCGAGTTCTCGTGCAATTTGATGCACGAGTTCTTTGGAGCCTGTTATCTCGTTCAAATCGCTGCGCATGTTCTCGTCCGCTACTTGCTGCGCACATCTTCTCGCACTGCTTGCTCTGCATGTGCTCTCGCGCTACCGGCAAGGCTGGAGATTTTCCTGTACCCTTCGCAACGCTTTCCTACTTATCCCAAAGGAAGTTGCCATGAACAATGAGTTGCCATTTAATGAGAGGTCCAACTTGTTTTTGAACATCTCCCTTAAAACTGGCAACTTTGGACAAGGAACGCTCAGCCCGTTCTCTGCCCAAGTGCCTGTCCCGCATCTCATTGTAGAATTTGCACTTCCCACATGGGCTGCCCGGCATGCTGCACCCAGTTGAGGTTCTTTAGTAACTCAAGCCCCTTCCTGAAAAAGCATCAAGCTTGTGGGTACGACTGCAGGCTCTTTTTGAAGCCAGGCAGACACCATTCGGGCAAAATGACTGTGGGTCAAAACCAATGGTACCATTTTGGTAGGGCACCACCCATTTTAGCCCATTTTAGTTGGAATTGGGATGTTCACTGGGGGTACGGGCTTTTGACCCATGGCCATCTGGAAATTTGTAGTTCGGCCAGAACCATTGGAGCCACTTGGCAACCTTAGGCCGGATGACTCCATCCTCGGCTCTTTGGCAACGATGCAGATCTCAACCGAGGCATCGAACCGCCACGTTCGGACCCAGCCAAGGGGTATTTGATGTGGTGGTTGCTTGCAGCTTCTCGTTTTTTTTTGCTGTCTTGCTTGCATGCCTGTCTCCTCTCTTGTCTTTCTTTCCCTTGTTTGTGTGAGCCGGACTTTTTTTTGCTTTTTGTGATGGTCTATTTGCGTGTTCGTGGTCTTGCTCATCTTACAATGATCATCCTGAGTTCCCGAACTTTAAACTTTCTTGGAAGTTTACAAACAGTTTGGATTTGTTTTGGTAATTCTCTCAGGAAGTGAGTTTTTGTGATTCTACTTAGAAACTGGGCTACAGCCATGGCTATAAGTCCAGTAACCCCGAACTGTCCAAGGAAGATCCAAGGAACTGGACTTGCGAAATACCGCGCAAGCAAACATATAGGGGTATAATCCAAACAACAGGCGTGGATACAAGGGCCAACCGTGGGCTTGAATCCAAGAAGCAGGAAAGTAGTCCAACCCTGCAGGTATTGGCAAACTCCAGCTAGAATTTAGGGGTGTCTCAAAATAGGTGAGCCCTCCAAATTGTGGGTTCCCTTTAAATCCCCTTTGAACCAAGCCCAAAAAGGGCACACCCGGCAGGCGAGGGCCTTCCTCCGCCAGTCCCGTGTGCGGCAAGTGCTGCGGCAAGAAAGCCACCGGATGCAATGGTTGCTTCTTGAGAGGTCGGTCTTTGTCTTAGCCACCTGCTTGGGGCTTGAAAGAAGAACCAAAGGGAAGTTCAGTTTTTTTTTTTTCTCGGCCGGGGGGGGTCCTATTTTGAAGACACTCATGATAGGTGTCCAGTCTGCTGACGAGAATGAACTTGTTGCGGTGGGGCAAGCATCCACCCATGTCCAACCATTACTCCAATGGGGTCCTGGTTCAACATCAGAATTGGCAAGCATGTTTTTAGCTCAGCTAAACATGATTGGCAACGAGCTTTGGAAATGAGCGCCTGTTGCGTCAAGCTATCTGTAGGTGATTCAGCAAAGCCGGTCAATATCCTGACTCCTTTACTATACTCATGGAACTGATTGGAAATTTGTTTATTCTGCATGTTGAATTCAATCATGACACTTGCAACTGCTTCTCTGCCGATTGCCGCAGCTGCTACATGCCTAGATGAACCCAGACACCAATGTTTAAATGACTGTGTTGAGCTCGAAGTTTGAAGAATGTTTGCATCCTTATTGGGAGTCATGCGGTGGATCCCTTGCCTGGCCATGGCATTGGTTGCCAAGTTGCCATCCATCACTGCGCAGTTTGAGCCCAAGGTCATGAACAATGGCGTTGCAAGCCCAAAAGAAACCGAGGTCAGTACATGTCGTCAATGGTTACAACGGCAGGAGACGGCGATTTGATAGCAATCCGACTCACCTTCACTCACACATTAGCTCAAAGACCGACTGTGTCATGAAATTCCCAAGTCAACTTGCCCCGTTGCTCATCCACTCACAGACTACCTTCCTGACTCGCTTGCTTTTCAAGCTGTCCCTGCCTCGAAGAAAGACGAGCTCCTTTTCTCTGCGTCAAATCTAATGCAAGAGCTCGAACAGTTGCACACATCTAATGTTGTGTTTATTCCTGCGCAACAGCTTCCAGCAACGAACCCTACACACTTCAAATCTTCGACAGCTGTCATGCACCTGAGCCGGGAGGGGCTGATTCTTGTTCTGTCCCCCAACCTGCCCCATTGGGCCATATGCTTCAGGTCACAAAAAAGGTAGATTGAAACATCAGCTTGTGTTTTCATTTCTTTTGAACTACAAAAACCACCAGCTGATTTGGTGGGTTCATGTTTTTCTATCAGACTGCACCCCCCCAAAGCCTTGGCCCTCCCACGCGCGATGATCGGAGCGCGTGCGCGAGCACGGGCTGTCTTCGTGTGCTTGGGACTGGCCGGGCTGACCTTTAGCCCGCCAGGCGGGTGCCTTTGGTGGTTGGTGGGTGGGTGAGGTGGCTGATCTGAAACAGAGGCTCAAACTTGCTTGCTGAAACGAGGGATGATCAGCTTCTCAACTGCTTTACCCGCTACAAGACCCCAGAATTTCAAGTCCACCACCGGTAACCTGAGTGTTGAGGGATTGTGGGGTCTTCTCACATGTTAGCTCTTTATGGGTGGACTAAATGTGAAACAGGATTAGTTGTGCACCTCTGTTGTCCAAGATTTGGGGTGGGGGTGTTTTACCAGGTTGCCTAAGGTTGGTTCATGGGCGGTTGTGGGATGGTTTATGGGTTGTTTGGGGGTTTCAAAACTTGCGTTGGTTTCTAGATGGTTTTGGCTGATGGGAGGCTTGGGGGTATGTGGCTTGTGGTTGGCTTATTGGTTTGGCTTTTCTTGCAGCTTGTTGTTCCATCAACATAGACGTGAAATTTCTCTTCTGGGGCTGACAGGAAATGAAGTGCCAGCATCAGGTCAATGAACTCATCTCGTTAGGCCATGTTGAGTGACCCGTGTCGTTTATTGCAAGAAGGTTTCAGATGAAGCTGATCAACTTTTGCCCAGACACCTTGATGCATTTCGCCTTGTACTTTCCTGGCCGAGTTGGGTAGCTCCTTTTAGTACGCTCGCTGTAGCTACTTTCTGAGTTTGCACGGTTAGCCACACCTTAAGCAAGTGGAAGCTGAATTATCCTTCAAGCACCCGCCAAGATGGTCAGCTGCATTGCGGCTGCATGTATCCATGTATAGGACTTTGTGTGTGTGTGTGTGTTTGCTGCTTCCATGGGGTCCTTTCTCTCTCTGACACCTCTCACCTAGCTCACCTGCGCAGTGCTGCCGCGGCCGCAGCTGGAGGACACATGGCGGCTTGGTTGCCATCCGGTGCCACTTTCCACCTGTTGCTATTCAAGTTTTTAGTCTTTTAATCCGTTTCATCTCTGTTCATTAAACGAATTGATACTTGTTCATCCTATGCTTTTGAACCGGGTTTAAATTACCCTCCAGCCAACATGGACGTGCACATGTTTTTGCAGAAACAACTAGTGCCCTCTCAAAAAAGGGGCTCTGCCAATTGTGCACTTTGCGCACTTCCATCAGTTAGGGTGAATCAGCTTTCCCAGCCTTTTGGTTGGGAGTTTTTCACACCCAAGCCATTGGGGGGATTGGGGGGGGTGCCACGTTTTGGGGGAGGTGGCTCTTGCGCATCGACGTGGGCCGCACCATGGGCTCCTTCATGCCGCTCCGCTGGGCCACGGACACTCGGCTGTCTCGATCCATCGGAGGGATCGCTGCGACGGGCGAAAATGGGCCCCCTGGTCTCCTAGGTCCCCCAGTGCCAACTTTTACCGCTTCTTTTTTTGGTTGGGAGGGTTCCGATACTAAAATAGACTACAGAAAAAAGGGGATATTCTAACCTCGCTACTGGAGGACCTAGTCTCAAAGAAAGGCCACACAATGGGTTTGAACTCATGTGAACGGTGAACAACTGAGCTGATGCGGTTCCTTTTGTTTCGGAGAACGACCTTCAAACAGGGTGCCCTCAAAAAACGACAAGCCCATGTGCGTGTCCTTTTGTTTTCTATGGAAAACGCCTCCAAAGGTACTCTCAAGACAGACAACCCCAACCTGTCCGTACTGTGTGTGGCTCACTGAGCAGGGAGAAATAGCCAAACAAGTCTACGACACGTGTTACACTGGCAACTGGTTACTAGCTAGGTCCCCCAGTAGTGCCCTTTTGCCCCTTTTTTGGGGGAGGGTTCCCCTACTAAAATAGACTACAGACAAAAAAAGTACCCTTATTCTAACCTCTCTACTGGAGGACCTAGCTAGTAAATTGTTGGACCAGTAGTAAATCTCCATTCCTGCTCACGTTTTCCTGTTACCTCGTCCAGTGAGAAGACTTGAGTTTGTCTCCTGGTTGGGGGGGGGAAATAAAGTTAGTGCCCCACGTCCCTCCCAAATCGAACATAGACTGTTAGAATTGTGGACCGAACTGCAACCCAAGTGCTCCGTGGCATCTGATTTTTTGTTAGGTGGGTTCCCCACTGGCAAGAATCAACCCCCAAAAGGCTTCCCTTTTACGGGTCACTGGTCATCGAGGCGCCTCGGCTTCACTGAAAAGATGCCCCAACCCGTATGGGTTCCCTTTGTAGGTGCAAGGGATATACTTTATGGAAGGCAACTACCGGGGCCTTTTGCTTCTCGGATTCCCTCGCTCAGGACGGCAGCCGCCTCCTGCTGCCCATGATTGTGCAATTCCGCAAAGGCTCACTTGGAATGACTGACTGATTTCTGCACGTTGTGTTGCAAAGGAATGACTACTCTTGATGGCTCGAACTATGAACAAGGGGTGATTCCGGTATGCCTGATTACTTTGGGCTGTCAAAACATGAGGATGGCCTTGATGCTGAGGGACCTGAAAGCCTTAACCTGATTGCTGTATGCCAAAGTTGACCGTATGGTGTCCTGTTTTTGTTTAGAGTCGCACAGAGCTCTTAACTGTGATCCACATGGCAGCCGCGCTGCAACTGGCGGTGGACTCCTTAGGGAGTCCTTGAGGTTTCTCAGAATTCCTTGAGGTTTCCTGACCCGGATCCATTCACCTGCTTTTCTAGGTCCCCCAGTAGTGCCCTTTTACCCTCTTTGGGGGAGGGTTCCACTACTAAAATAGACTACAGAAAAAAGTTGGTACCCTTATTCTAACCTCTCTACCGGAGGACCTTTTGCAGGTTGGGGCTTGCCCTATACAAGGAGAATCGCAAATTTGGTTCCCTATGAGGGCTTTTCCTGGGATCCACTGGGCCTTCGTAGAATCCCCACACTTCGATTGGCCACCGGAATGGGGGGCGTGAGTGCCCGCCCGATGCATTTTCAGGCGGGCAGTTGGCCGTGCACCGGGTGGGGGACTTCATGGGGGACTGGGACTCTCCGCCCAACACGGCGTTGGGGCCCTTGCCCTTTGAGGAGGTGGGGAGACGGAAGCGGCGAGACGGAGACAACTTTGGGGCTTCATCGAAATCTTCTCGTAAAGGCCCCCAGCTTTGACATCATGGGTCTAACTTTTCAACCATGTCGCGGAAAAGAATTGGAAACCATCGAATTGTTGTAGTGGTTTTCCCCCATGGTCATCGCATGTAAAGGGCTTTTTGATCAACTCCCACATCCTAGAGTCTCCAGGACAATTGAAAAATGGGGATTTGGGCCAGGACCCCATTTTTCAAGAGACTCCAGGATCGTGTTAACTTTGACCTGTCCCAGGCCGAAAGGAAGCCAGGGGAATTCCCAGGACCCGTTTTCTTTTAGGATATAAGAACTCTCGCAGAATGTGGATGTGTTTGGGGAGGAAGAAGGAGTGTCGGGTACAAAACCAGCAAACCATACGAGCATCCCCCTTTTGGAGGCTGTTCTTTCTTTCTAGGGAGAAAGGAAACGTATCATTTTAAGGGGCGTGGCAAGAGTTGTAGTCGTGGATCATCTCCGTTAACGCCACCGGTGACAGGCTCGCTGATCAGGGAGCAAACCGTGCGATGAAGTTTCTCCTGATTCGATTCTTATTTGGGTGTCCCCTTGAGTTGGTTTTTCAAGGATCCCACCGGATTGGCCGAAGCCATTTTCGCGGGGTGCCCCTTAAAACCAGCAGCGTACCGTCCAGATGTGCGGAACGGGTTCGCCGTCTAGGAGGGCTCCGTGTCGCCGAGCATCAACGCCGGGCAGTGGGAGATGTTGGAGGCAGCTCCGGCGAGCGAGCGGTGAATTGATGTGTGTGTGTGTGTGTGTGTGTTGCCTTGCGCGTTTTGGTCCCCCCCCCCCCAAAGAGAAAACAAAAAAACAATAAAAAAATCGACTGGTTAACGGAGGTGTGGTTTAGTTTAATGTGAGACACCAAGAAAGACGCACAATCGATTTTCGGTGTGGGCTTTCGAATAGGCAGTTGTTTTGCTGAAGCCTCAAGCAGATGGAAGCCGCACGGAAAGGCGCACAACGGGAAGCCAAGGACGATGCCAAACGGCTCATGTTGTTCAACGCCTTATAGACAAAGGGGTCCCTGATTTTGACAACCCGCAGGTGAACGTGAACACCCTCCAAAAGAAGTGGATTCTTTCGGTTGCCATGTTTAAGAAGCCCAGCAAGGGTATCAAGCCTCAACAAAGAAGACACCATGAAGGTTTACTGGGAACGGTCCCAACAATTTAGGCGCCGTCCCTGCCAGGGATCGATGTGTTCAACAAATCTGGCGTCATGCGGCTTTCGTCGGAATAAACAGTATGTTCAAATGATAAGCTTTTTATGCTGTTTGTGTGGCTTTCTTTGCGCAATCATGTTTACTTACGTACTGTTATTGGTTTAAGTATCTATTCATTTACGTGTTTTGCTATTTATATATTAATTCATTCATTTGTGTATTTATCCATGCATTTACACGTTCAGCATTTATTTGTTTGATTGTGTGTTGTTTGGTTGTTTGTTTGCTTATATCATTCAATTGTTTTTTGTTATTTGTATGTTATGTCATTTGTGTTCATTTATTCGATGGTATTTACTTAGTAATGTGTTTGATTGTGGCTGTTATTTTACTTGATTTGTATGTATCCCAAAAATATGATTATTTGCTTGTTTTACTTATTTAGATGTTTGTTTGCTTGCTTTTCCGTGTGATTTCTAGTCCATGACTTATACACTGGCCACCGAGCGAGGGCTTTTTTTTGCACCCTGAGGCCCAGGAGGGCCGTGTGGTGCAGTTCCACGTGGAGTCCAGCGGCTGCCCAGCTGGGGATCCGGCGACGGGATTTGGTCTGCGGATTTGGTCTGCGGATTTGGTCTGGCTTTTTTGTTCAATGGGTGGTTGGGATTGGTTTGGATTCGGATTCGAGTCCCATCTTGTATGGTAAATGGGAAATCACTCATAGCTTACCCTCCAAAGCACCGAAGCACCAAGAGGGGGGAAGCTGATGCGTCGCACTGTCCGGATGAATCGCTTCTTTTTGGGGGAACCTGGAGCCAAGCAAGAAACTGGGAGGGGCCTTTTCTTGGCCAAAATAGCAAACGATTCTTGCCACCCCACCACGGAAACCACGGAAACCAAAAGACAAAGGAGGATGGTCAAACTTTGGGAGACTTTCTACGGAATTCCCAGTACACACCCCATGTCAAGTGGTCTCTTTGGCATTCGGGTGATTTGGGTTTGTCTTGACAAATCCCAGATTTTGTTTGGTGTCATTTGAAACCAAGCAGGAGGATTGCCCTCACAAGATAGATCATATTTTGGTGATGTCTTCAGCATGGACATCCGAAGAAGCTAGTTGCAATCTAGAAGGCCCTGGCTGAGGTATTTACACTTTTCAAGAAAGTGACAGTGTTTCAAGAAAGTGACAATGTTGATCAACTGTCTCCCGGAGGAAGTCTTCAGAATGCACAATTGTCGCGGTTGATTGTCGCGAAGTCCAGGACGGGAATCAATTATTTTTATTGTGGGCCTCACAATGACAAGCGGCTGTCCTTTGTCCGTGTTGCTTTGGTAGGACCACCCAGAACAAAAACTGTCGCTTGACGACAAAGCCAAATGCAGGAACCCCTTCAGCCAAAATAGACCACCTCCACATGACAACGGTCCCTCGCATTCCTTTCTTCATGGCTTTATGATGCCCACGGCCCACTTAAGGACAGATGGACAGTGGGGAAGACGAGCAAATAAATTGATGAAATTGTCGCCATGCCGTTCACTCGCCCGACTCAGAAGTGCAGGGTTCCCAATGTTTCTCTTTTTAGGTAGTCTGAAACACCGAGTTTTGGTTCCCAACAAGGAGCAAACGTGTCCTTTCGGGTCGAAAGGACGCTCCCTTGCAAATCAATTTCGGGGGGGAACTTGTAGGGGACGGAAGAACTTCAGAAGTGCTGAGGCTTCAAGCGGGGCTCCATTTGGCTGCCGCCACGGAAGCTGTTCTTCAAAGGCTGGGAGGGCAGTGCTTGCAGCGAGCGGGATTGGTGCAACAGACAACTAGAAGTAACTCAAAATGGGGAAAATACAGGCTCAAGAGATCGATTAGCGATGGAGAAGGTCCGCCCAAGTGTTGAATAAGGTTTTCGCTAATGTCAGGATGACTATAGGTGTCCGTTTAGAACACAGGGTGGTGCCTGTTTTGAACCAAGCACTTATGTTGAGGATATGTCGAAACGAGTTGGACCTCAGAAGTTGACCGACCATGCAAGCGCAAAGCTTTGCTTTGGCCAAGCAAACAAACATAGGTGTCCTTTTTGGTTGTTTTGGTAGGAAAAATAGATGGCCCTGGTTTACCTGGTGGTTTAGTCATGTACCAGGGCCATCTATTTCCCCTAAAAGAACACCTATGGAAACACACCAAATTTGTGTTGATCAACCTATTCCTCAGATGGGCACCTTGTCTGCTGAAGGTAACCATGTCAATCGCTCAAGCTTGTACTAGTTTTCATACCAGCCAAAAGCTGTGATCTATCTTCGACACACTCATACAGATGACACGGTCGATTCATGACAGTGGAGGTTGGCCTGGATACTGTGGATGGACATGTGTGTTTTTTCCATTTTACACTAGTTGGTATGTCGTTTATCCCAGTATTGACATCCCAACTGGTGCAAAGGTGATTGTGTCAATCCACATCAGCACACCATGCAATGGTTTATAAGCTTTGTTTCGGTCAGCGTCCGGCTAACGGCCCTTGTCATTGGGCCCTTGCTTGCTCAAATAGGTTTGACAACTGGGATCTTTTTAACATTTGTTCAGGCTACACATATGTGTATGTATCGCGTAGACCAGAGTCAGCTTATTGGCGTTGGATTTCCGCGACAGAGCGGAGGTGGACAAGTGCTGGGTGCATAACACACTTTCCAAGCCCACCATTTGGCGTCATCCATCAGGTTTTTTGTTCCGTTTTTCCGCGTCCACCGTGTTGCGCCCAGACTGAGGCAAGTCTTGTGCCCCCCCCCCCCCATGCGTTTTCCCAGGCAAGGTCTACGGTGAGATCCTCTCTGGGGGGAAAAATGCCACCGTCTCTATCCGCGAGAACCTGCTGCTCTATGGCATCGGTGTGGCACTGCTGCTGGCGCCGCCCGGCTGTTCGCCTCGGGGAAGCCCCTGACATTGATGGCTTGCAGGTCCAGACAGGAGAATGTGGCGACCTCCAAACGGTTTGCCAAAACAACGTGGACGCAGAACTGGACATGTCAGGGTCGTGTTTCTAGGCCAGCCGTCCAAGGGAATTCCGAAGCAGAGGAAAGGTCACGAAACCACCCCGAAAAGTGATCTGGATCGCCTCCAAACTGGATTGCCCCCTATCGAGCAACTTTGAGGTTGAATCTTGTGTGGCCCTTGATCGAATGAGAATCCGGGAGTTTCCTCAACTGGTTGCCCCTTCCAAACCAATCAAAGAGCGATTCGAGGTTTAGGCAGCGCACAACACGGGCAAAGTCGCAACCGAAGACCAAACTGGGGGTCAACCCCTGCGACTTGGGGCGGCGAAATCCTGTTTAAGTCAAACAACCAAACAGGGCAACTCTTTGACTCAGGCAGACTGTGCAAGTGTAATGTTGAGCGGCGCCCGTGCTTCAAGCGTAGTCCGCTTGTTTGGCCGTTCGCTTTGCTTCCAGACACTCTCAGTCGCATGTTAAGCCGACGCTCGCTCGGACCCGTGCGTGGGCGCGTCGCGCATCGCGTTCCCTTGCTCGGCTCACGCTGGTACTGTCACGGAGGCTCTAGCTCGGCTTTTGCATTTGTTCGCGAGGTGCAGCGTCTTCAGCGGAGTCCAAGTCAAGTATTTTCCCTGGCACTTCGAACTGTTTCCGAAGACTGCACCAGTCTCCCGGGGGGGCTGGCAGGCAGCGTTTCCATTCCTCCTTTCCAATGCGAAAGCCTGGTATTGTCCGTTTGATACCGCTGTTCCCGAAATCGCTTAACACCTCAATGGCTTGCACCCTCAATGGTTCTGGGTGAATAATAACGACCTCACACAACCGAATTCACCCCAAAAGGTGGTTTATCTGGGGAATAGCCTTTCAACCACCTTAAGTTTCAGGTTGGTGAAATATTTTGTAAGTCACCCAGGTTCGATGTGGGTGGCTTCCCTGAGCCCATTGTGGCGCTTGTGGCTTCCCTGAGCCTTGGGTGTGAGGTTCGTGTGGGGCCCGGTGGCCTTGGTGGGCCTCATTCTGCTGGCGCTGCGGGAGGTGTCCATCTCTGTAGGCACCTGGAGCATCGAACGCCTGGAGGGAGCCACTTGGCTTCAGAGGACCCGCCAAAGGCAGACCACCCAACCAAAAACTAGACGTCCATTTGCTGAAATGAAGCATTTTGTATTTTCCCCCTTTTGGGTGTTTAAGGGAATTCATCACTACTGGAAATATCGTTAGTTTTGCCAGGGGACTTCAGCAAATGTAAGTAAATGTGCCAGCCTCTTTGTTGATTGTGGTGTGAATCAACTGTTTTTGAACGCCATTCTGTTGCTGTCTCAAAGGAAACCAGGGGCTGGTTTGTTCCAAGAGTTGTGCAACCAATCCTGCCAGGGACCACGAGGGTTCAGGCGGGAAGAATGGTTGGGGGTGCCAACCAAATCGGTTCGTTGCCAGGCTTTTAATTTCTGTGCCAGGGGTCTCCCTGACACTTGGGCAGCCACGAAGTTCAGACTGCTTCTAGCCAAAAAGTCAGAGCAATATCCCTCTTGCTTTGGACCCTTTTGAAGGGAAATCTAAGTGAGCTTCTGTTGGGGTGTGTCCAAGAACTGGCGAGCCTCTCTTGAGGGTAGGCAAAGCGACAGGAAAGCCACCTTTCACACAGGCGCTGGTCGCAAGGCCCGTTTCACTGATTGCCTGTCAAGATGGGCGGCCCCCTCTGCTTCCCCTGCATTTGAGTTGGTCCGAATGGAGAGGGTTTGCGAGTTCAGAGAAGCTGGCATTTGCTCGAGGATCCCGACACTGAGCCGCTGCCTCCGGTCACCTTGAAGGGGGACGTGCCCGAGAAGTGGGTGTGACTCGCAGCGGAAAAAAGGGCGGCGTCCCATGCTCGGCTCGGCTCGAAAGGAGCCACACGAAGCAAGTGAAAGCCGCCCATTTTGATCACCGGCTTTCGCAGCTGCCTCTGGTAGCATGACCTCTTGCAAATCTGGCCCGGTTCTGGAAGTCTGGCCTTAGTCAACGAAGGTTCCTTGTACAACAACGTCAATCTCAACCCTTATCACAACAGGTGTTTATGGCGGAGGTAGTGACTTTGTAGGTCATGACCATGACCATCCCCTCCAAAAGGAGGCAGCTGAGTCTTCATGCCCAGTATTGCAGTGGAGGTTGCAACTACACAGACATGTGGCCCCTTCATTGTGCGGCTATTTCGCAATTTGCTGTTACATGGTCATTGCTTTCCTAAATCCCCCTGAGGAAAATGTGTTTGCGGTTGGTTCCTTTCTTATTTCCCTTCGCAACCAACAAGAGGTCAAGAATGGGTAACCAAAAACACACCAACGACTCCAAATACCTTCCTCTTCTAGGGTATCATGTCAACCCTCCACTAAGAAAGGAAGTATTTACACGGACAACCAGTTTGTTCAAAACAATTTTCCCTCAACAGAAAAGAGCATTTAAACGATACCCTTAAAAACAGAGTTGGTTTTTTAGTAGGGGACCCAAACAAAAGGTTTTTCCCGGGATTCCTTCCTGAAATGAGAAGCTGCAGGACGGGGACTTCGGCGCCATGCGTCTGGAGCTGGCGGGGGCATGCCGGGGGCTAAAGCGATAGCTCGGTGAAACGCTGGGTGAGTGGGGTGACCAAAGATCTGGGGTACCTTTCCACCAAAACTCCACCAATCCAATCCGCCAATTGGAAGGAAGCCCCCGAAATTCTAGGGGTATTTTTCAAGAATCCTCACGAAACCCAGGGAAAACGGATCCGGTGTGCGAAAAGAACGATGGTTCAAAAGAAGGGGGAATCACACCCTAGAAAAGAAGTTGGAGGGGTTAGAACACTGGGATTGGGATTGTGCACCTAACCTCCAGTGAGGGTTATAAGCTGTTATAAGGGTTATGAGGCTCACAAGGGTTACAAGGGTTGCCAGCCTCCTTACAGTGGGGGTATACGCCTAACCGCCAGTAAGGAGGGCTAAAGCCCTGCTCAGCACCAAGCTGAGTTGGCCAAGTCTGAACCGATGATTCGGCGGGGCAGTGTTTCGGGTGGGGTCCGTTTCGGTGGGTTTGGGCTGGGTTGCTGGTGTGTGGTTAGGATTTACCGAGTTTTGCTGGACCAACCAAGGCGCATCCGTCCTGAGGAACCAGACAATTCCCCACTTGGGCGTGTCTCTTTTGAGGATATCCTGTTTGGAGTTTTAAAGCGACACAGCAAACGACCCTTTGTTCGGGGTCCCCTTTTAAAGAGACACACTCGCTACCTCCCTGCACATCAGAAGTTCAGCCAAGACTTGCGCTTGCGGGCCAAGGGGGGTGAAACTCTCAGGAAAACGCTGCGCTGGGTACAGCTTCCTGTCACCTGGGATTTGGAATGTTTTAGCCTTGGCTTAAAGCTGGGTTAGCATATTATTGAATATATATATATATATATATGGTCCCGTGTTCCGTGTTGCTACCCCACCCCCCGCCCCCCCATATGGTATGGGTCTCCCAGGAACCCCCCCCCCCCCCAGCCCGAGACCCCGAGCCCCCGGATCCTGGCACCTACGGTCCCACCCCCACCCCGACCCCCTGAACTCGCACCCCGACACCCCGGCACCCCCACCCCCAGGACAAGCCAACCCGCAACCAACCATAAACCAACCCTAAACTAACCCTAAACGAACCCTAAATACCCCCTAAACCAAACCCTAAACCGTAGACCTCTAAACCTAAACCAACCCTAAATCAACATAAACCAACCGTAAACTAACCCTAAACCAACCCTAAACTAACCCCAAATACACCCTAAACCAATCCCTAAACAATAAACCCTAAACCTAAGCCAACCCTAAACCAACCCTAAACTAACCCTAAACCAACCCTAAACCAAACCCTAAACCGTACACCTCTAAACCTAAACCAACCCTAAACCAACCCTAAATCAACATAAACCAAACCTAAACCAACCCTAAACTAACCCTAAATACACCCTAAATATACCCTAAACCAATTCTAACCAACCCTAAACCACCACAACCCAACCACAGGACCACAACCACAGGGGGGGGGTACTTGTCTGACCCATGACCATTGGGGGGGGGGTTGGCAACGCTGTACCATATATATATATATATATCATGATATATTGGAAAGTGTCAGAGTTTGTGTTAGCGTGTGGGTTGGTTTATGGGGTTGGGCTTTTGGCTGACTCACCTTCTCTATCTTTCTCTCTTGCCTGCTTGTTCGCTGGCTTGATTGAATCGCTTGCTTGCTCCCTGGCTTGGTGTACCCAAGCATTGGACACCAGCCACTGGACACTTCCAGGACCACTACCACGAAGATGGTGGTCACAATGCCAATGTTGCCCTGACCTTCCCTGCCCCTACGAATGCCCATTTCATTGACAGTTCGACCTTTAGTGGGCACCTTCCGTAATCAAGCCCCTTTCCAAACACCTTAACTGCTTAACCTGAAACGACCTGATACATCGATGGAACGCCCTGCATGCAACACAGTGGCACGCTTGCAGCCGGCACACGGCAAGGTGCAACAGCCCTCATGACAAACTAATTGTGTTCCCCCGCCCTGCCGGCACGAGGGTGAACATGTTTTCACCCTAATGGAACATATCGCTTTTTTAAGTTTTGGTCCCAGGGTTTGGTTTCCAGGTTTTTGAACCCTAGTGTAACATGTCGCTTTTGGGTGGTTTCCAGGCTGCCCAGTCTGCAAAACCAGCAGCGAGCCAACCAACGCCGAGGTTGGAACGTGCCGGAGCTTGCGACGGGCTCTTCGAACCTTCTCTCCACCTTCAAGGCTCGAACTGGCAAAACCCACCTCGGACAGTCCTCTCCCTGTGGCCAGGGGCACATGATATATATATATATATATATACATGTATATTTGTTGTCTTCAAAGTTGGTTTGAACACACCACCTTTGAGGCCAACTTATTTAGTGATTGGTTGGTGTGATGTTTACAGGGGCAGTATAGGAAGCGTGTTTTCTTTTCCCCCTACGGTTTTGCTCAACTAAGTACTTGAAGGGTGGAGTGCATCATTTGCAAAGGTCACCCTTGTTTACCGCGTCAAGTCATCACGCAGTCCGAACATTGGGAACCCTTTGACATGCTCGCTGTGGCACAGCCGTGCGAGGAGGGGGGGGAGGTCATCAACCTCCTTCCGGTTTCAACAAAAACCTGAGCTCTGTGTTTGATTCTGGGCAAACCATGGCGAGCTCACGCGCAGGTAAGACCAGCTCACCTGTCCGTACGGAATCATATGCAATTCGTGAACTGTAGTGATTTGCCCCGATGTTTGACCTATAAAGGATCTCTTTGTTTTCTCGAGGATCCTGCTGCTGCTGCTGGGCTTTGTGTTTGCTTGCTTTCTTGCTTGCTTGCTTGCTTGCTTGGCTTTGTTTGGTTGCTTGTTTCTTTGTTTTTTGTTTGTTTGCTTGCTTGGTTGTTTGTTGCCATCATTTGGTGGGCGGAAATACGGTCTCAGACCTTTTTTTCAGCCAAGCGACCGCCAAGAAACAACGACACGGCCATACCGGCATGTACGAGAAACAAGGCCCTTCCGGGCTCCAGGTGCAAAAAGGCCATGATTCCCTGAAGGAGCTTCTGGATCCAAAGTTAGTATGAGTCGTGTTGCAACGTCTCCTTGTGGTTGTTTTGTGGGTGTTTCATGTTTTTCCTAGTCGTGTTGTTCCATGATTTGTGGTTGTTTTTCTTTCACCAGGGTGGGGGTGTCACATCAGAGCGCTAACAACAGGGAGCAGGTTGTTCTTTGCTGCGGGAAGTTGACTGCCCCTTCTGCAAAAAGGACCTTCAGATAATAGCAGTCAGCCCTAAACAGTGCCTCATAGAGTGAAGGTTACAGAGGAGCCTAAGGGGGCGGGGTGCTAGGGCTATTGGGGGCACTCGCGAGGACCTTCTGCTCTATGAGAGCGAACTCATGATGGTGGGGGTGGAGCCCCCAGCGCTCTGAGACTGACTTTCAGCTTTCCATGTGGGTATGGTCAAAATTAAATCCAGGGGTAACATTACTTCTTTTTGGGTACCCCAGACCCATGTAGCTTGCCCGTACTTCTTTTTGGGTACCCCAGACCCATGTAGCTTGCCCGTATCTTAATTTTGAATCAAGAAGCGACCTATGGGAATATAGGGTATAATTTGTGTGCCTGTTGGTCGCTTGTGGTTTGACATGCGATGTTTGAAATTGTGGAACAGAAAGGCCTTAACAGCGATAAGGGACACTAAAAAAAAACGCAGCCAGTTTCTACGCCTTTGGAGTTGTTGTTTGCCGGATTGCAAACATCCATTTGGCCGCAGGGTTGTGGAGGGGTACTGGAGAACTGCACCACTTTCAAACTCTGGGAAGCCAGTGTTTGTATTTTCAGAGGAAAAACATCACTGGGCTTCTGAGATGGTGCGGAAAGTGAGTGTTGACCCGTCGCAGTTGAGTCTTCGCCATACGAAAGCCTCTGAGGCGCTGAGCGAGAAGAACGAGACCAGACCTTTCGGGAGAACGCCGTGAGAACCTTCTTTTGTGGCCGCCGGTGTGTTTGGTTTTTGGGCGAACATGGCAATAGATTCTAGGGTTGATTCCCCATTCTTTTCAACCCTCGTTCTTTTCAACAACCGGCTGTTTCCCCGGGTTTTTTGATGGTTTCCTGAAAAGAAGGATCCCTGGAAAGAATGGGGAAGGTACCGCTAGATGGATAAATTCCTTCTAGCGGTTGCCATGATGTGGTTTTTCATCATTATGACCCTTGTTAGGCGTCAGGTTGCAGTTGGCCACTTCACCCCCACGAGCGTTGCGACCGGATGTTTTAATCAACGCAGGGCACAGGGCCAAGTGTTCCCGCAGGTGTCTTGATGGACCGTG